TACACCAAATTTTACTGAACAGTAAAAATTTAAGACTAGCAAAATGTTGATAACATTCCAAAACAGAGGAATATAAATTATTTTAATAGTAAAGGAAGGCCAAGGTAACATGGAGAACACTAGACAGGTCATGTCTAATTTACTGAAATCATTTACTTGAAGCTACAAGTAATTTGTTCATGCGCAGCAGATTTCAGCTCTGATGATCAGCAGATACACAACGATGTGAGCAAGGGAGCTCAGTGAGAGAAGCTCTGCTGGAGCCTTGCTCCTGGAAAAGTCTTCTTTCTCCTTCTGCAGCAATGTTTCAGATTTGTTTTCACTTAGGCTTGACACACAGTTGCTGCCATTTCATTTGCAGATCTGAAGAAATCATGTCAGTACAAGAAATGCAAGAGTTTCTTTGGGTTTTTTTATTTTGCAGATTAATTAAATACTTATGGAAATGAGAGCTAAACAGAACTGGTTTGAGCCAGCTTGCTTTATGGACTCTTGACTATCTGAATCCCACTATGGCTTCAGGTATATCACACCTTCTCTTCTTCCAGGTCTACTTATAGGCTGAAGATCAGCCACCACACTTCAGCTGCACTTTATTAGATTCAGACCCTGTTCATTTATTAGAAGTTAACATTTTACTTAATCTTTGTGAACACCCATCGCAGCTGTTGCCCCATTTAAAAGAGGGAATTTACATTTCTTAATTGTGTTTCTCCTATTATTTCGTGCAGCTCTGATGCACTAAGCAAAGGCAGGTTGGGAGGAGATCAAGATAAGAACTCTCTGGCACTGCCAAAGCAGGATTTTGTTTTTTTAATGAGTACGTCCCTTGTGTGATTCCTGAGGCAGAAATCCAGCAGAGTGTGGAGGAGGGAAAGTGTCCCACAGTCCATGTTTTGGTGGAAATGCAACGTTTACGTTTCTGCACAAGGTCATTAAGTGGCTGTGGCACATTTCAGCCGGAAGGTTTTTAAAGTGTTGAGTCCTGGATTGGATCCAAATTGAGTGATTGCATTCTTCCTCCCCAAATTCCTCTGGTAGATCCAGTTGGATACCACTTTTGCCACTTTCTCTCCTAACCTGCGGGGCTGGGTTATGTGCTTTCTGATGTACCTATCATTTTCACTGCAGAGGGAAGATGACTCAGAGCTGAGAGCATCAGGATGGATTTGGGAAATCCAGGTTTTCTGAACCATCCCAGGTTTCCCAACATGGGGCCAGTCATTAGCCTTTCTGTGCCTCAGAAGAAATGGGGATAACAACACATTACTATTTCAAAGCGGTGCTGCAGACGTAAATCATGGAAAACTGTGAGGCACTCAGATGTTACAGTAATCAAAGTCATGCAAGTACCAAAGATTGACAGATCACATCTTCACAAAATCAGTAAGAAAATCTGCAAAGCATCTGGATGAAGACTAGTCCAGAAATACATAGATATTGGTGTAAGACTCTTGTGCCAATATTTCTGTCTGATAGGAATTAAGATGAATTATCAATCACAAATATAGAAGAGAGCTATAAAATGTAAAATGAAACTGTATTATTATAATTTTAGTTCTTGATTTTCCTTATTTATCTTTCCAGCTCTCTTCCACTACTAATCTCTCTTGTTTAGGAAAAATAGTATGTAAGTATAGTGGAGCTTGATTACTGAAAATGGCTATTAATGTATTGTCTCAGAGTGCTCTCTAGACAGTTAAAAGGCTTTTAACAGTAAAATATGAAGGTTTCCTTCAAATTTGCAGTCATCTGCCTTCTAAAAGTTTGTTTCAGTTGCCAACATTTCAGTGATTTATAGAAGTCAAAGTATCTGATTTTTGTCTCCCCACAATAGATGAGAGCTATTTTTTCTTATTATTTTGTAAAGGCAACGCCATTATCTTAAGCAGGAAAAAAAAACAAGTTAAGAGCTACATTAAAGATAGAGCTTTCAAAATAATTTTTTAAGGCATCTGGCCTTATTTAAACCATCAAATTTACATTCAATTCCTTCAGGGATGGCTCCGTTGCTTTGCGCTGGCTCTGTGCCCTCCGAATAAAGCCCTGGATTTAATGCATGCCACCACCGTGTTTCGCTAGCTGCACTGCCGCTCAGTGTAGATATATAGCAGAGGTATAAAAAGCCTAACCTTGGACAAGATGATTCACTTAGGCAAAAAAAAAAGTCCCTGTAACAACGTAAGTTTCAACTAGAGGTTAGACTTGTGACTAATGTCACTATCTATTTATTCTTAAATTATTAATAGAAGTGTTTATGTACTATGAAACATTCTGTATGAGCTAGACGGGAAGCTATAAAACATTTTATGAGATCTACACACGGCTGATGGCAGAACATTAATACAACGCTAAGGTTTATCTAAATTCAAGAAGCTCCAGAAAACAGTGGGTTTTTTTTTTTTCCCCGAGTGAGATCTTCACTTGACAGGGAAAAGTGTACTCAGAAAACCCAGGGGGGGCAAATTCTGCAAGGTCCTGACCGTCTCCGGAGAAATACGGAGCACCGTCAGCTTCTCCCAATTTCCAGGTGAAGGCAAGAGCCTTTTAAAGGGCTTTATTTTCTCCGAAGAAAGCCTGAGGAAGGACAGGTCAGGAAATGAGATGAAGCCCAATTAGAAACCTGCGCCGTGCCTCCCTCACCTCTGACAATTTTCAAGCTGAATTATTATCCCTGTTTTGTGGATGGCTGGACTAAGGAAAGCAAAAAAAAACCTAGGTAATATAACCACACAGCAAGGCAGACATTGAACTGTGAGAAAATCTCACACTCCTTTCAATGTTATGCAGTCTTATTCCTACTGCAATGGGTTCTGCTTCCCTTCCTCAGGTAACTAACAGCACGGTAAATAATCAGCATAACCCCATTCACTTACTACAAATCCTTGCTAAGAATGAAAATGATTTGCAAGTTGAAATTACACAAGCACAAAGCTGTTCGTGCGTGGCCATTAACTGAATCTCAAACTGATTTTTATACATATAGTAAAGTTTAAGATAAAACCGCGTAGTACCAGTTTAAACAAGCACCCGTGCTTCTGCAGCACATACGGCGGCGCTAAGGCACGTCCGTGCGCAGCACGAGTCCTAGTGGTCTCATTTTTGTTGTAAACAGAGTTAAAGAAAACTCTGAAGATGAGAAAAAAGTGATTACTTCCCAAAATAAGAATAAACTGGGTTAGTCCAAGATAGGGAGACATAACCTGCCTTGTTTTACTCTAAATTCAGCTCACTGCCTTATGTAAAGAAGTGAAAGGTTATTATATGGGTTTACTGGGCAAACCCAGATTTTATAAATAATTGCCTGTCAGACTGTTCAAGATAGACAAACATACAGCAGACCAACAAAAACACGATCTGTCATATTTCTGAGAGAAATGTATGTTGAGTCTTCATTCTCTGGGACTCTAAGTAGACCAGTAAAAAATAAGTGCCAGTATTTTTCCTGCTTATGCATATTTTAAAATGTAAAATCTGGGAGAGATACAGCCACGGAAGGAATTTTGATTCCAGTTCCCGGTGCCTGAAACGGTTTCTTCTGTCTATATCCCTGCAGATCGAAACCAAATACAATAAATGCTGGTGTCCTTTTAAAAAGTCTGGATGTTTACAGCAAGCATATAATTTTCCATGATTAAGGACGCCAACAAAAATAAGAGTGATGATAAAAAGAAAAGTTTAATCATATATTTCAACAAGCACAGATGGAACATCAGAAACATCCCCCCCCGCCCCGTTTAATACACTGCGTCGTACACATTACTTTTTGTCCTTTACACACAGATTAATTCCAGAAAACAGAAGCGTAAGCAGGTAAAAGAAAAAAGCAACTTAGGAATGGCAGTAATATTTGATGTACAAAGTTCACTTTTACAATATTTTGGTTGCAAAGAGAAGAGACATTTTTCTGTTTATTTAAAATATATACATATATATTTAAAGTTTTTGCAGGCAGGTCCAGGAAAGCGGGGCAACAAAACCACTTACAAATGACCACAAGAGCATACAGTGGGAGTAAAAATTAAGAGCTCACATACTGAGCCCAAAGGAGGAGGACGGCTGCGCTATATAAAAGTAATACTTTGCTGATCTCCTCTCGATCTCTTGAGTGCTCTGTCTTAATTTGAGGTTTAAGTTAGATTTCAAGCCTGGGCTAAGAGCAGCTGAAGCAAGCCCCCGGGCCAAGGGGGGAGCACAGGGACGCAGGCAGCACATGCCTGGAGAGCCTGACGACGGGCTGGAGCGCGAGCCCTTCTCGCTGGTCAAGCAGCATCGTGGTCAGCTCTATATTTGTACAGTTTTTATGGGAAGAAATGAGTGTGTTTGTGAGGCCAGCAAAGGCTGGAGGAGCAGGGGACGGGAAGAAGCATAGAGGGAGGGACTGAGATTTAAAAAAATAAATCTGGAAACAAACAACGCGAACTAAAATATAAAAAAGGCAAAACCGAGCCCATTTCTTCTTTAACCAAATCCAACAGTAACGCTGCCTTTGTCAACAACAGAGACAACATCTGCTTCCTGCAGCAAATGCTGAGCAAGTACATAACGTTAAGCCTTTGCTTAGAACTACTGAGACAGACACAGTTATTTAAATACTTTAGGATATATTTTTCTGAATAGGGGCCCAATCCAGTGCCAAATCACTGCAAAGGCTTTCCTTGATTTCAGCGAGCGATGGTTCGAGCCCCAGGAGAGGAAGGGAAGGAAAATAGAGATGGCAATACTGAGAATTGGGGGCTGACCACTTAGCCTATCCTTGGGTCTGCAAAAAGACAAGTCTCTAACTGGTAAAGTACAATTTACTTGAACTTTTCTCTGAATATCTTCAAAAAGCCCCTTGCTGGATTAAATTGGGTTACACTGTCTGAAACACTTGAAAATTATTTGAGAGAAATCAGTGGAAAATAGTGGAAAATAGTGGAAAACAGTTCTTCTTTTTCTAAAAAATCACAAGGAAAACCTATATAACCTTTATATAAGCTATATAAACCTACATAACCCAGTCTATCTCGTGCCTCTTTCTGCCTCATCCTGCTTTACAAAAAAAACCATCTCGAGGAGAGCATACAGACTTCCGAACACTTAAATAAAAATGACATCGCATTTCAGAAAGAGGCTGACAGCAGCAAGTCCCCTGCAAACTTCAGCACTGTCTGATCTGCATTCTTGTCCACCTACACGCTATCCCAAACATCCTGCCATTAATTAGCTAAATGTTCCAGCTAGTAAACAAGAATAACGATTGAGGGGGCTGGAAAAAGAGACAGAGTCAGCCAGCAGATAGTCACAACAAACCAGCCCACTCACTGGTACACGGAGACATTGGAGCTTGTATTTTTTTTTTTCCTTCCATGGAGGGGAAAAGAAAATCACCTTAATATAACACTGCCTTTCCTGTTGCTGCAGCCACATCCACATTAGCAGGCGAGAAAAGTCATCCCGTTTCTGCGGTAGGCACTCTGTCAAAGAAAGAGAAAATCTGTAACGAATTATCACATCAACTTAAACAAGGGAGGAAGGCAGAGAGAAAGGCAAGGCTTTCTTCCTGTTTTGTAGACTATTCTGGCTGCAATCTAATAGTGTGCTTAATCTGAACATTTCTGGTGGGGAAGCTATAAGCAACCACTTTGTCTATTAAAAAATCAGTGTGGTTAACAAGTGGTTAGCGACTCTATTTCAGGAGAGCGAGAGATATGCAAAAATGTAACATCCTATTTTGTTAATTGCCTGCAAAATAGATGAGGCCAAAAATACACTATTATGCTGAATCTGTTTGTCCTTTATAAGCATGTGTTCTCTATTCGCTACGTTCAAGAATCATTTCTAACCTATCTTAATAGTCTATAAATTACTGAATAATTACAGTTTTCCAAGCCTAATTTATAGTCTCAGTCTAAAGCTATGTAAACAGACACTGGTATAATTCCCACCCCCCAAAACCAAATTTATCTTAAAGACCCTCTGGCCAGTACAAAATAATTTCATCCCCCACATATTGTAACCTGGGATCAAGTGTTTCCAATGGTAAAGCAGCACAGGAGTTAAATAACATTTGAGAAAAGAATTTTAAAAGATCCTGTGACACTGTCTTACTAAAATACCTTTCATGCATTTTTAACATCTCTTTCTGAATCAATATAGGAAACTATGCCTTTTTACCCCAGGAACACTGGAAACCCTATATTTTAAGGGGATATTCTCAGTTTAAAAATGTATCGTGCTTTTTTTGTGTGATACTAATGATCTTCAAAAAGGAAAGGAGTTTAAATACTTTTGCTTTATTTGGTTCACCTTCAGCAGTCATTCAGTTTTGAAAATGAAAATACAGTCATCTGCTTCATTACAGTTAGTGCTTTGTCAGATTTATTTTGTACCTCTTAAGTTCAAGCACTTAGGAAGTGCCAGATATAACTACCATTTTTCGTGGCTCTACCGATTTCCTAATTAATTTCAACGAGATCAATGTCTCCTCTCTCAAACTAGAATTAGAAGAGTATCATTAAGAGCAAAGGATAACCTCAAACAACTTTGTATATAAATAGTATTTACACTGAACTGTAAGGAAATAGTTTCAAAAACAGCAAGCGGGTATTCAGACAGCCATTTACAGACACTGAATATGCAAAAGGAAATATGTACAAGATGTTCATTACAGCATCCTTTACATTAACAACATACTTCAATGTAGAGATCTAGCAGCATATGGCATTAAAGCCGAAGAGCAGAATATTAGCTCTGGGACATATAGCCAGGCATCAGACATGACAGTGTCACCGCAAACAAACAAACAAACAAAAATCCAAAGAGTCTATACCCAAACATGAAATGCACAATAACAGACTAGCCAATAATTTCGAAAGAATCCAATATATTCCCACAACCACATGCAGCAAGTCCAAGGGAGTTTGGATCTGCAGCTTGCCCAAACCATTACGGCTGGCATTTTGAAGTCGATGCAAAAATAATGTTTTTACCTCCTTGACCCTGATATTTTTACAGAGCTTTATAACCCAATCGACAACCTTTAACACATAAACAAAAAATATTCAGGGCCATTGTGCAGTTTGCTTGAAGATAAATGAACCCGAGTATAAAGTTGGATCCACGTGAAAGATAAAAGGTTGAATTTTGCGAAAGGAATTTTGGTTGCAAAGCAAAGTTGGGCTTGGCTGGGCTCACCTGGGAAATAATGAAGTTCAACATTTTCCAACATGGGCAATATTATACGGTTACTTATATCCCTGAAAAGGTCATTTTAGAAGGAGGTTTCAGAGGAGGGAGGATAACACCTTCAGAAAGTTGGACACACCCACCAGTCTATATTTAGCACTGTATTATAACTAGTGTGGCTATAGTTAGGATTGAAAACTATTTCCTACTTAACTCCCTGTTTCACATACTTTAAACTTTCTGAAACATTTGCCCTTGGGCTGAAATTTCCTCTGCTTTAATCTCTGCCTGAAGTTCAATTTCTTTGGAAAGGACCAACAAAATTCCTTAAGCCATTTTGAAGTTCAGCAATAATGAAAACAACACATTTTTCCTTCCCAAGGCAGAGAAAGTGATTCTGATATATGCATATTTTATTATGGAATTTAGCCATAAATTGCAGCATTTTACCCAGAAACAATCTTTACCTTCAACCTCAGCTTAAAGGTAACTGTTTTGAAAATCAGTATTTCAGAGGAGGGAGTTTGATTCATCCCATTCCATAACAAGGTAACGCTTCGTTCTTATTTTGATACATTACTAGATAAAAAAGGTTAACCTCTGAAATGCTTTTATGCATAGCAAAACTATTTTACAGTCATCGTTCTGAGTTATACCATATATCTTTAAGATATACACAGCTGAATTCGTGATACTAAAAGACATATCTTTACATGCCAAAAATTGTGAAGAGAAAGAGCAAGATGTTTTTTATAAAACTTTTATGTCTATGTGCCCTTGCAAAAGAGAGTGTATATGTATGTGGCAGTCATTTAATGTGGTTTGATGTAATGTAAAGCATTTGGATGACACTTTTGGGTACTTTATGCCACTTTGGCAGTATCCAATTCTTTTAAAAAAATATGATTATTTGGCTCAGAATTACAGATAGGGGATGATGCAGACTCTTGATGTGGGATTTAAATGGCAAGCCATAGCTGTATCCGTTTTGCTGGATGTGTCTTGCTATAGCCTAATGTCAGGAGATAACATAAGCCCACGGTCCTTCCTGGAGCCCTTTTTGGAAAAGTGTCTACTGCATCCAAATTTTGTGTGTGCTCTCTCTCAAAATTTACTGTCTACCAGCCTGTGCTTTGATTTTTCCTGCTGTGGGCTGACTCTTTGCCATGGTTGAAGGTCCGTCAGCCTGTTACTGTACCTGCTATGTGCGCGGGTGGTCAAGGGACCACCTTTTAGACACGGGAAATCACTGAGCTGGGCACAAATTACACAGTTCACCTTCCTAGAATGGATTCCATGCTCTGAAAAGTTGATATAACCTTATTTGACCAATCTAGCTCCCACAGAAACTCTTCTTGCTCCTTGCTATCATATGACAAGATTTTGCATCCCCTTCTCTGACCTTGTTAAAGGTGAAAGGGCAGATTGCTGCTATCCACAACCAGAGGCTAAGCAGGCTGGACCAAAGTGAAGGCAGAAAAATGACCTTCCTCTTGCCCAGTCCACACTTGCCACATGCTCCCATTTAGGGGAGAGGCATGATTCTGCTGCTTAGTCCTCTACTTCCCAGTCCTGACCCCAGCCCATCTAGGCACCATGTGAAGAACCTTCTCATGGCCTTTCAAGCATCCTCTCTCTGCCTATAGTATAGGAACCCTACCATGAAAACATTGCTCCTTCAAGTTATCAAAGCACATTGAATTCCAATATAAAGATCTTCTCTGGGAATGCTGTCCTTATTTAATAAATGAAGGTAGTTTTTTTTCCTAACAGTCTGAAAGGGGATACAATGAAGCAGAAAAGATGAGCAGTGTTCACTGCTGTCAGTCATCTAAAAGCAAGATCATGTTTTGCCCTTAGTTTGGTGAAAGAAGCGAAAACAGCTGAAAAAAGGCAACCTGGAACAAAGGCTTGGTCAAGTAAATCCTCAAATTTCATGAGAAATCATCCATTTTCACTCTCTTTTTTGGTCCCATGTCTCTCCTGCAGTAGTAGCCTGAGGCAGTGTATTATGAAGGACCACAAAGAACCACCCCATGAAGAGGGCAGCAAAACTCCTGTTCCCACAGTAGGTCACATGAAATGAAACAGTTTACTAAGAGTTCTTAGGACCAGTTTAGGGGCAGAAAATAACGTGTTTATTAACACAAGATACACTGAAGCTGTGATTTACAGAAACAAGTCCCAGCCAAAACTGAAGATGTAAGTACTCCTCAATCAGGTAACACATCAGATTAGAAAACCAAGACTTCTGAACAGGCACCTTAGCTAGAAATGGTTTCCAGTTAATAATTTACACTAGTGCATAATTTCACAGCTGTAGCATGATGAGAAAGAATAATTTTGGCAAGAGAAAGGAATAGCTGTGATTTTGAGTGGGCTGATGTTTCATTCTTATTTGGGATAAAATTTTGGAAGTCTAGGGTAAAAACATCTCCAGCGGGCATCGTAGACACCAAAGTTTATTGGGCCAAAGCCTTCATTGTCTGCAGTTCTGCTTACATTAAAGCTAAGGTACAATGTCATACCACAGGTCTGTTGTATCACTTAGCGAGGATAAATCCTGAATTATAGGTCCTGTATAAGCAAGTTACAGAACAGTGTTTTTAAAACTTGAAGTCTCCCTTTCTTGTTGTCCTTGTGTGCGTGTGTGGGCAAGTGGTTTAACTACAATGCATAAAGTGGAATGGCAGACAGAGACATCAAAATCAAAGAGCAAGTCCTGGCTGAACTTCATTAGCAAACATAAATACAAATAGGCACATCTTGTTTGTGACATGCCACAGTCCTCTCCTCCTTTGGTAATTTTACTCTATTCTCTGATATTTGCATAAATGTAAATCAAACCATATGACTTGAACAGGCTTATGATAGGGGAATCATATGCAAAACTTTTTTTCATTAAATAATTCTCTTCATGCAGTCTTACAATGTTACTGTGAAAATCAGGGAGGATTAGATCTCAGACAGTGAAAGCCTTTATTTAAGAACAGTGGAGGGAGCCCTGCCCTTTAAATAAGAGACATTCTTGGATCAGACACTGGCTGGCAGGATGGAAAAAAGGATGTAGCATTAACTTTCATTCCATTCCAAATAACCTGGAACCCATAAAACACAAAGATTCTCTAATTTTAAATCTGCTCCTTTTCTCCCTGTGTCTTCTTTCCATTTTATTTGGGGAATGTTAACTTTGAAATTTCATTAGCCCGCCATAATATTAAACAAGTTATCCTGGACAGATTCATAGCTCTTTGTACATAAAAACATCTACATTAAATCCTCTGTGATT